ACACCGCTGCCCGACGCGCCCTGGCGGCCGGGCCCGCTCTGCCTCGGCCGCTTGCAGTCGCTCAGCTGGTGCCGCGAGGCCGTGGCGCGCGAGATCCTCGAGTGCGGCGTCTCGGTGCAGCACCTCCGCGCCGTCTACGAGCTGCGCGCCCAGGGCTCGGCGCCCGCGCGCGACTCGCGCCGCAAGCTCTCTCTTCCCGCCGGCGCCTCCGGCCGAGAGCCCATCCTCGAGGAGGACTACGTGGCGGCCGGCGCCGGGGAGCCCAGCGCCCCCGCCGCCAACGGCTTGCGGGCCGCGGGGCACTCCCTGGGCGCCGTGCGCCCGCCCGACGCGCCCGGCCACCAGGCGGCGCTGCCCGAGCCCGAGCCGCTGGCGCGCCGGCCGCCGCTGTCGACCGAGCTGCTAGGCGTCCAGGACTACATCGATATGCGCAAGGAGCGCATCGTCTACCTCTTCCTGGAGCACTGGCGCAAGGGGACCTTCCGCGGCCCCGGGCGCCACGCCCAGGCGCGCTTACGCAGACTGCTGCCGCGCGTGGTGGCCGCCGGCGCGGACCCGGTCCCTGAGGCCGCCGACGGCCCCGACGGGCGGCTGCTGCGCCTGCTGAAGCAGCGGCAGGTGGTGGGCAAGCTGCTGGGCCACTGGCGGAGCCTGCTGCGGCAGGTGCCGGCACGCCCGCCGTGCGGCTCGGGCCTGGCGCACGGCCTGTACTGGCCCGAGCACTTCCTGCCGCCCCTCGACGGCGGCGCGCCCCCGCGCTACGACAGCCTCACGCTCGACCTCTTCATGCTCGGCTACTTCCAGCTGCTCGAGATGGGCCTGAGCCGTGAGGAGCGCAAGTTCCGCCACCTGCTGTGCTACGAGATGTTCGACCGGCTGGGCAGCCACCCGTGGGAGCTCATCCGCCTCTTCCACCGCGTGGTGCTCGAGCAGGTGGAGGCTGGCCGGCGCAGCTGGAGCGACGGCTTCGAGGACCTCAGGCGCCAGTTCTTTGGAGACAGCCCGGAGGCCGAGCCAGCTCGGGAAGATGAGGCCGTGAAGGAGCAAGAGGAGGAGAAAAGAGAAGAGGAGGAGGAGAGGGAGCCGGCGGAAAAGGTCGCTTCGGCTCTGACGGTGGACTGGCCAGAGGGGCAGCCCGAGGCCCCAGCTCCTGCGCCGCAGCCCCCGACCCCACCTCCTCCGGCCGCCCCTCCCCCCACATGTTCCGAAGCCCCTGCCGAAGATCCCCTGGAGTTGGTATCTGAGATGGGCGAGTTCAGCAACGAGGACATCTGCCGCTACATTGACCGCAGCTTCTCCTTCTGGAAGGAGAAGGAGGCAGAGCTCTTTGACATCTGAGCAGCATTTGGAATTTCCCCTCAAGCATCTTAACCCGGGCCTGGATGCCTGTCTGACGCCCTCTGGAGGCCAGAAGCCGGCAGGAAGAACCCAGAAGCCAGCGGGGTGGCCTTGGAGAACTCAGAGTGCCCAGGAGGACCAGGCTGCCACAGCCTTTGCAGCCCCACCATGGCCAGATGTGGGGCGGTAGCCAGAATGGGCAGGGCAGGGCAGGGCACAGGGCAAACCAGGTGTTCCCCTCTGGCCCTACAGCCTGGCTCTGTGTTGGAGCCGGGGGGTAGAAGCAGCCCCTCCGAGTGAGGGACCGTGGGCCCGCCCGCCTTGGGGCAGTGTGGCGCTCCTCTCTTTGGTTTTTCACTGGAATTCACAGCTACTTCTTTGAGGTCAAGGGAGCCACGTGTGTAGTGTTCCGTGTGACGTGTTCTCTCCTCTGTAAACATCCAAGTAATAAAGCTGTTTGCTGTAAGCCGCCCGTGTTGGATGCGTGCCCCCCTCCTGCCAAGTCAGTGCAACCACACAGTTGTAGAGGTAGTGTCTACTCTACTTGGGAATAGGACACACATGGGCCAGAAGGTTCTTCACACTGGAGGCCAGCTTGAGCCTCTCTGAACTGGCTGGATCTGTGGGGGCCCACGTCGGGATCTGCCCAGAGAGTCTGGGTCAGGGGCCTGGGGCCATCTGTCAGCTGTCCTGGTGGGGAAGCTCCTCTGCTGCTCTCCTCCACCTTAGCTCTGATCTCTCTGGTGCCACCTGTAGGACACAGGGGGCCTGAGTTACAAGGGGGCAGAGCCTGGGAGGCTCCCTTTAAGGGGACTGTGACCAGGCACCTTCATCTATGTGCCCCGTAGAAGGACATCTGTATCCCATTGTCCCTGACTGGTGTGGGTCCCCCGGGGTTGGGGGTGCACCCCTTCTGTCCCCCTACCTCCTCGCCCATGCTGGTCCTAAAGCTCTGTGCTTGTGTTTCAGGAGGAAGAGGAGGAGGCCCGGCTGGCCAGCATGCCTGCCTGGAGGCGAGACCTCCTGCGGAAGAAGCTAGAAGAGGAGAGGTGAGCTGGGGAACCAGAAGCTTCAGGGCCTGGTGGAACGTCTTGATCATGTCCCTGACGTGGTGACACCAGATAATGCTATCTCTTTTTCCTTCTAGGGAGCAGAAGCGGTGAGTGTGGGACTGGGCCCGGCCTGCCACCCCTCCCCAACCTAGGCACCGTGCTTTTTGCCCCTTCGTCCAGCCCCATTTGAGCACATCCCCTTGTCACTCTGGTCTGCAGCACAACCTCTCTGCTCCCAACAATACCACCAGCCTCCTCTCCCCCCAGTAACTGAGCCCCTGCCTCAAAGTCTACATCTTATGCCCTAAGAGTCTTGTTCCCAATTACCCAGGCCCCGTCTCCCATTAACCTGGCCTTCAGTTAACCCAACCTCAGTGTCAATAACCTTGATCTCTTGTCCCTCAAAACATAGTTTCTGCCCCAGTAATCTAGCCCAGTGCTGACAGAAGTATAATGCGAGCCACTATGTAATGTTAGATTCTCTAGTAGCCACCCTGAAAAAATAAAAAGATAGAGGTGAACTTAACATACATATTTTATTTAACCCAATATATCAAAATATTATTTCAATACATAATCAGTATAAAAGTTATTAATGAGATCTTTTTACACTTCTTTTTAAAAAACAAAGTCTTTGAGATGCCATGTGCTTTTCACCCCTACAGTGCATCTCACTCTGACATCTCAGATGCTCAGTGGCCGCACGTACTTAGTGGCTGCCTTGTCAGGCACGCAGATCTAGCCCCTATCTTATAAGAACTGTTCCTAATTACCCACCACTGCCTCTCAGTAGTGTGGTCCCTCTGATCTCAGCAGCCCAACCCCAGTACTGCCAAATTCACCCCCTCCTCAACCTCTGCCACAGCCCTGACCCAGCACCACTGTTTCCAGTCATTCCCCAGCCAGCAATAATTCAGCCACAGCCTCTCACTCACCCAGCTCGTGTGTGTGCCCCAGTGACTCCAGTCTGCCCTCAACCAAGCCCCTCTGGCCCCCCCACCAGCCCTGCTCTTGTGCCTCCTGACCCAACCCCAGTCCCCTAGCCCTTCTGCCCCTGGAACTCATTGCCCTGGCCACCAATAATTAGCCCCTCTGTCCTCAGCAACCCAGCCCCTGACCTCCGTAACGCATTCCTTGCTACCCGTGAGCCCCTCACGGTGCCTGGCCCACCCTCACACTTGCCCGCGGTTCTGCCCCCACACCATGCCCAGGAAAGAAGAGGAGCGACAGAAGCAGGAGGAGATGCAGCGAGAGAAAGAGCAGTCGGAGAAGCTGCGGACGCTGGGCTACGACGAGACCAAGCTGGCGCCCTGGCAGCGACAGATCATCCTGAAGAAGGGGGACATCGCTAAGTACTAATGCCGCCCTCCTGCTCGCAGCCTCGTGAGCTCGAGGGACCCCAGCCTCCGCCCCGGCCTGCCAGGCCCCGGGCGGAAGGGCTGGGAGCCACGCTGCCTTCCCCTCCCGCGCTGGAACCCCTCCCCGACCCCGCTCCGGCCCCCGCAGCTCCAGCCCCGGGCGACGCTGGAGCGCGCCCGCCGCCGCAGTCGCCCAGAGAAAGTGCCCAAGCGAGCTGTTGACGTAGAAAGATGCTGCTTATTTGCATGCCTATTTACATATATTTGCATACTCGTTGAAGGTCGCGCAGAGCTCTCCCCGGCCCCGTGGGTGGCGGCTTTTGTTTCTCTGCTGGGCGCGCGCGACCGGCTGCAGTCCCCTCCCCCGCACCCCGGAACCCGCGTGGCTAGCGCATCCTGGGCGGAGGCAGGCCCCGCGCTCCGGGAAGGGGTTTTCCTCCCGTCCTGACCCAGATCTGTGCCCTGCCCGCCCGGGCCGCATTTCCTATCCCCGCCGAGGGCTTCCTCTCAGTCGTTTGTTTACCAGAAGCGATGAAAACAGCAACCTGCCCGTCGGGACGGAGCTGCAGCTCCGGGGGCCCAATCTCTGCCCTCCCCCGTTCCGTGAAGTCTGCCCACCCAGGCCCCACGCTCCCCGGACCCTTCCGCGGCGCCGGTGGAGAGAGTGGGGGGCGGGGGGCCGTGCACTTGTGTCTCCACCTGCTTCCTCCCCGTACCCCCCATCCCGCACCCCCATTAAAGCTCTCTCAGCCGCCGGGGCCGACGTTCACTCTCTCCCGCGGTCGCCACGACTTCCTCTCCCTTCCTGGGTAACTGGGGCACGGCCGAGTGGGAGGGGCAGCCTGGGAGCCAAGGGCCACACCGGCCTCCACCGTGGGTCCCCGACCCTGGGGTGACAAGACTTCCGGCCCCCTTTCGACGGCCCCAGGAAACCAAGCCCGGGCCACTTAACACCACAGCCTCGCGGAAACACCAAGCAGTAGCTCTTCTTCACATTTTTAATACCAAGGCCTCACGGAGCTCAGGCCCAGAAACTGCTGAGCCGTCTCCTGCCCCCTCCCGATATCCGTCCACGCTTCTTTGCCCCACCCAGAAGCCTGGGGGCGCGGAGCGGGGAGGGCGGCCGGCGCTGCTACGCAGGGCCGTGCCAGGAGCTTAATAAGTGACATAAGATGTCTACACGCATAAGTAACCGTACTTAGGGCTTCTGCAGGGGCCGCCGGAGCCCGGAGGCGGCGGCGAGGGCCCTGCGTCACGGGCCGCGCTGCAGGCGGCTGCGCAGGTCCTCGGCGCAGCCGTCCAGCCCCATGCGCTCCAGCGCCGCGTAGACGGCGCCCAGGCCCGCGGGCTGCTGCTGACGCCAGCGCTTGAGCATCTCGTACTGCTGGTCGCGGAAGCGGCCGACCTCCACCTCCACGGCCTCGATCTCCGCCTCGCGCAGGCCCAGGGTGCGCACGAATTCCTTCCAGCGCCGCGCCGGCACCGCGTCCATCACGTCGTAGAGCTGCGAGCCGGGCTGGAGCGTGGCGGCCGCCGAGCCTGCAGGGGGCGCTGGCGAAAGCGGCGGCGGCGGCGGGCCTGAGGGCGGGCCAGTGGGGAGTGCGAACTGCCGCCTAGAGGCGCGGACCGGGGTGGGGACAGGGGAGGGGGCAGGCGGGAACCCCGGGCAGGGCCGGCCAGGGAGAGGGCCACCTGATTAGCTCGGGATGGGAAGTGGGCAGGGGGTGCCTCAGGAAACTAGTACTCATCTGGGACTCAGGAGAATGGGGTCCAGGCCTGAGGCCAGTGAGGTCTCTTACCAAGAGCTCTGCTGTGCCGCTGGTCCCAGGACCATGTCACCTCCGGGCAGGGCACCTCCTGGGTCTGGGGGGAGCCAGGGGTCCAGCCGTTGCCTACCAACTGGACGGTGTGGACCTTCTCCCTACTGCTGAGTGGCGCTAGAAGGGTGTGGGTGCTGTCCCTGGGTGAGAGGTGGGTGGCCTAGAAGCCAAGAGAAGCCGCAGGTCAGCCCAACTGGCCTAGTAAGGGGTCTCTGGCCCGGAGCGGCCATTCCCGGGCTCAGTCAGCAAACATTCTCCAAGGCTGCCACCTGCAGTCAGCCGTAACCTTCCACTGTGGCCCAGAAGAACTATTTCTTCTGCCTGGAATACCCTGCCCTTGCTGCCCTGCTCTTGTTCCCCCAACCCTGTGGGAGGCCTGGCCATGGCGGCACTTATCCCACAGAACCTGTCTGGACCCCAGCAGATTGAGAGCCACTTAGGGACAGGTGCTGTGCTGCTCTCCGTCATTCAGAACTCAGTGAGCTCACGGTGTTCATTAGGTCTACTCTGTGCCAGCCCCATGCCACACACTGGGGATCACGAGTTATCATAAGGCCCAACCTCTCAGCTCCAGAACGCTGAGGCCTGGGTGCCTGCTCACTCTCTTCCCGGAATATTACTTCTACGCTCACCTGTAGGGAAGTCAGGGCCTCCGTCCCAGCTTCATCTGCCAAGAGACAAAGAGCATCACATCAGCAACCAGGCAAGACTCCTAGACCTGGGCGCTGGTCCACCTCCTGTTGTGTTCCCCTATACCACCCCTGCCCCCAGCACTTTGCATCAGGGGTGAGTGGGCTTACCCCTGAAACATGTGCGCGTGCGCCTGTACTCACTAGCAACCGCGGGCTTGCAAGTCTGGCAGCGATGGTAAGTGTAGGTCAGCACAGCACCAAGCAGGAGTGGGACCACCAGGCCAGCCAGGAGCAGCTGGACCCAAAACACTGAGAGAACAGCCGGTGAGGGGTGGGTTGTAGCCCCCCCCCCCAATCTCCCCTTGGCCCGTCCCAGCAATCCTCAAATCCCCAGCACACCACCTACTCTGCCTCCAGCCACAAATAGTCACACAGGGCTCAGGACAGCTCCCGAGGGTGCTCCTGCAGGGAGAGGGGATGGGGAGGGAGATGAGGGAGACCCCACCAGGAGGGGCTACCCATCTTCCCTGTCCTGGAGGCCCTTCCCTCCCCAGGCCTCTTCCCTGGGAGCCACACTACCCAGGAATGTTCCCAAAGTACTGCTGAAATTTCAATTGTGTCCCCAGGAACAATAGCGACAACCACTATTTATGGTGTTTCTTGTAAACTAGATTGAGGGTCACTAGAATGTCAGCTCCATGAGGACAGGGGTTTGCCTACTTTGTTCCCTGTTGTATCCCCAGCATCTAGAACATCTCTGGAAAATGGTAGATGCTTAATACACACTTGGCTGAGCAGACAAGTGGATAAAGTGCTTTACCCCTTACTCTTAGCCCTGGGGAGAACCAACTAATATCGCCATGTTCACATGGGGAAGCCACAGATCAGAGAGGCGAAGTAACTTGCCCAAGATCTCCCAGAGAAGAAGTGGCAGATCTTGAGTCTCAGCCCAAGGTTTGACCGTGACTCTCTATAAATTGACAAATCCTATGCTTCTTTAATCTACAGCTGGAAAGATGACTATAGGAAAGTCTGACAGAGAGTGAAGATACGCCCCCTATGTATCCGTCCTAAGGTGACTGAAGATTTCCCTCTAGCATCGAAGGACCAAGCTCCCTCCCCCTTCCCTGAGGTCCCCACTCTGCTCCCAGCCTCCCTTTCCCTGTCCCGGGAGCAGCCAGGAAGTTACGTGGGGCAGGGCACGCAGCTGTTGCCATATTCGTAGAAGCCAGGCAGGCAGGTCCCACAGTCGGTATCTCTGGCAGAACCTGCAGTCCAGGAGATGGCTTGTGGGTCACGAAGGGAGAGAGGGAGTTGGGGGGGGGTAGGTAGCCCAGAATGGGGGTACTCACAGGGCACCCGTGTGTGGCGGCGCAGGGCCCTGCAGTCTGAGCATGGGTGGCAGCGGAAGGGTGAGCCGATCTTGCAAGACTTGACCAAGCACTCTGGGAACCAGCCTGGCTCACAGCCACAGTGGGTGTCTGCCACCGTTGAGCAGTTCGTCAGGGCCACCTGGGAGACTGGCCAGAGTGTTCAGGGAGATGGGGAGAATGCAGGCCATCAGGGCCAGAGGCCCCCATGGGGACTAGGGGCAGATCCCCTGGAAAATGGAGATGGTGACAGACCAGACACAGGACAACCCCCAAAGGGAGAGGAGCATGGAGATCGCCACGGATCAAAGGCTGAGGCATATACAGGGATAGGAGCGTCATCAGGAAGAGAGGGGGCAAAGGCACCTTAGGGCAGGATCGGGGGGAGGGCCTAGCACACGTGGGCACAGGGCTGTCACACCCAGAGGTTAAGCCCAAGTAGCCCCCTCCTTCAGAAACACCCTGGCCATGGCCTGTCCTCAAGAGCACCCCACTGAGCGCTAGGCCCCTCACCCTCCTCATCACAGGCCTGGCAGCGGGTACAGCGGGTCTCATGATGGTTGTCCCTGGCCAGGAAGGTGCCCCGGGGGCACGGAAGGCAGGTGGCGGTTCCGCAAGGCTTTGGGCAGGGGGCCTTCAGGTAGTGCCCTGTGGAAACCAGACTCGGGTCAGACAGTCAAAGGGGGTTCCCACTTTCCCCTCTCTTCCTGCCTATCTCTGGCTCCCTATTTCCCCCACCCCAGCTTCCTCTGTCTCCTGACCCCGCCTGACCCCGTCTCCCTCTGTCTGCCCTCACTTTCCCCCACACCCCTCCCACCCCTTCAGCGGCTCACCTGCTGGACAGCCCTTGCAACAGAACAGACCGCTCCTCTTCTGGAAATCGTAGCCACAGTCACACTTAGGACCGGGAGTGCTGGGCTGGCCCTGGGTGCCCGGCAGCACGAGGAGCAGGACCTGGAGGACCGGTGCTGCTGGCTCCAGCAGGGCTCACCGCGCAGGGCCCCTCCCTGCCCCATCTGCCCCACTTCAGCGCGGGGCCCGCGTGCTCTCAGAGCAGCCCACTTCTCGGGTTCTCGAGTAGAGGAGGTGCCCATAGACGTGGGGTAAGCGGAGCTTCCCTCCCACTGGGCGCGGACCAGGCTTGGGAGAAGCAGAGCAGAGGTCCCCGGCCAGCTCCTCTCACACGTTTCCCCTCCGCCAGGGCACCGGCACAGGCTCAGGCAGTCCCATCCCCACTCATGCTTTCTGTAAGGGGGGAACCCAGAGCTTTCCCTGCCTGGGGCCCCTAGACCCCTCTGGCCCCTGGGCGGGGGTTTCCTCTCAGCGGAAGGGCCCCGCCTGGCTGAGCCTCTAACTTAGCTGAGTCTCTTAAGTCGACGGGGGGGTGGGGCTGCCACGCTTCCCAAGGAAGTTGGGCCCCTTCATTCACAGCGCGGAGACCGGGGCCCGAGGTCAGGCTCCAGGCCATCCACCCCCCTCTGCCGTGCTCCCACTCACCGCAGCCGCCACTGCCATGTAGCCCCCCAGCCGCAACTCCATGGCTCTCGGCGCCTTGCTGGGCTCTCCGACGGCAGGCGACAGGCATGCGCCAGCCAGGGGCTTCCCCGCTCTGCCCGCTCTGCCCGCTCTGCCCGCCTGCTCTGCCCCAAGCCACCCAGAGGAGCCTGCCTCAGGGGAGGGGGTCAGGGCGGGGCCCCCAGCCCACGCAGCCTGCCCCTGTGCACCTGAGCTCACCTGAGGCGGCCCGGGGACAGCAAGGTGTACGCAGGACACGGCTGCAACCAGGTCCCCACACCTGGGTCCTAGCCTCAACTCTGAGACTACCACTTCCAGGTGAAGTGACTTCCCTCCTTCGGGCCTCAGCCCTCCCTCAGCCATGAGGGGTTGGGCCAGAACTACACAGGTGGGAGACCCAGCCTCCCTAGATACTACCTGGGTGTGGGTACGGGGCCCTCCGCTGGAGGGGGATTCTAGGGGGCATTCTCCCTAGAGCCTGAGACACACCGCCTACCCTGGCATAAGCTTATGGGGACCGCCCAGGGCGGGGCCCTCTGAGGCACCTCGTGGGAGGGAGCACTTCATGGGGGCTCTAGGGTGGACCTCGGGGCTGAGGCAGGGGGTCAGGTTGATCTTGAGGTGCTGGTCTGGTCACCTCTGCCCTGTTAATTCACTAAGGCTCTTCGACAGTCTCCGCCAGTGGTGCCCTCCCACAGACGGAGGGGGACAGGAGCGAGACGCGCCTGCCCCAGAGCTCAAGTGCTCGTGAGTCAGGAAAGGGGTGGGTTCCAAAAGCAAAGGACTCCTTCCAGTAGTATATACAAGTCTTTATAAAAGAATCAAAAGCTCAATAAATATGCCACTTTACACAGAGCCGAACCCAAGCCTGGGGTGGCCAGTGGGACTGGGAGGGAGGAAGGCCAGGCCAGGGGAACAAACATCCCAGCTGGGGCCAGATGAAGGGGGAGGTGGGAAGGGCCACCCTGGAGCCCAGCGCAGGAGACTGGAGCTGGTGACTTCAGGGAGCAGCGAGCAAGGGACCCTGTGGGGTGGACAGGTTAGTGAAGGTGGCCTTGTGGGGGGTCCTGAGGAAGGACTGCAGCCTGGGCCTGGAGCTGAACACTCCTCCACTTCCATCCAGTCTGGCAAAGTGCAAATCAGGGGTCCTGCCCCCACGCTCTGGCTCCCGCACAGGCAGCAGCTATAGAGCTGTGGGACCGGGATGCCCCAGGAGGCATGCTGTCTGCCGTCTCATGGTCAGTGGCACCCTTGGGGGCCTCCCTCTGCTCAGACCTCCCTGTAGGAGAGGGGAAGGGAGAGACAGTCCTTCCTTGGCTGATGCCCCTCGGAGGGGCTCTGGCCACCCTCTCTGCCCCACTGGAATCCTTAAGCCCCTTCCCCAGTGCCCGCTGTAGACACTGTCATGCAGGCTCTGGAGCAGGCCCCCATCCCCATCCCCTAATGCCACATGGTCCCAGCCATGAGAGCGCCCCCACCCATTCCTGAGGCTCAGCGCCCCCAATGCCAGCACACCGGGCCACTGGCCCGCCACCCCAGGCCACTCACGAGGCAGTGAGCGTAGAGTTAAGCAGCAGGGTGGTCCTGATCCGGTACAGCTGGGCTAGCGTCAGCTTCCGGTGCTGGGCAGAGATCCCTGGGGGGTGCTCGGGCTGGACCCTGGGCGAGGCCTCCAAGGGCAGTTCTTTGCTCCTCCTGGCGGGTCTTTCAGGCTCCCCAGCCAGGCAGCTGGTTCTGCCCTCCAGCTCCAATGGCACGGGGCCACGGCCAGGGCTGGGTGTCCCCCGGCGAACCCAGCTGGGCCCAGCTTCCTGAGGGGAACCCTGAGTCCTTGTGCTGGGGACTGTAACAGCCAAGCAGAGTTCTGACAGACTACGGCTGGGGGCTGGAGGCGCTCCACAGGGGGTGGTCCCTGACAGCAGCTGGAGGAGGCTGGCCTCAGATCTGGACTTAAGTAGGTGGGGCAGGCGGGGCAGCAGCTGAACAGGGGTGCGGCGGCGGAGGCGGGGAGAGGGTGGGGGTGAAGGGGCTTGTGGCAAATCTGGGAGCCGGGGCACTGGCTCCGCCATAGGGGCTGGGGTCACGAAGTCCTGCAGGGAGGTGGGGGAGAGGGTGCCATAGGCTGAGTCCATGGAGCAGGAGCGGCCATCTGCCGGGCCCAGGGGCAGCAGCTCACTGGTGGGCGTGACAGAGGATGCAGTGGTGCTGACAGAGGTCTCGTCCGACTGGGAGCCGAAGGGGCCACCCTCAAACTCAGGAGAGGACAACGGCTCCCCAGGTTCCACTACAACCAGGGCCAGGGTCTCAGTCGAGCCATCTGAGGCACTGTGGAGCCAGGAGGAGACCGTCAGCCCAGCCACGGAGGTGGCCTGGGGCAGCCCATGCCCAGCACGCAGAGATCTATAGCCTCTGCCCTCCCCGAGCCTGAGGCTCAGGGCAGCATGTGGCCCACCAGCCGGATCTCCTGCCTCCTGGGCCCGTGACACAGATACCACGGCTCGCGGCCGCGCCCCCCCCCCCACTGTACCCCCTCCAACTGGCTAGCTTAAGGATCCTCAGCTCAGCTCTCCCCGCCAGCCAGCACTAGAGGGTCAGAGTTGGCACTCAAGCTGAAAACCTTTTGCCATCCCCGCCTGCACTCTGGTGGGAGACAGAGCCGTCTCCCCCACACGGGGGTCACCGCATGACGCCATTCAGAGGAAGGGGTGGGGGCTGGGCCCTGGCCAGTGTCAGAGGCCTTGGGGTCAGGAGTGCTGGGCCGGAGCACCTGCCCTGCTCTGGCCGGCCGGGCGGGCCCCGGCGAGCATACCAGTGCTGGGAGCTGAGGCTGGTGCTGCTCTTGCGCAGGATGGTGGGGGAGCTGGTGGCAGAAGCGCTACTCTCCCCCCCTTCCTCCTCTTCCTCCTCCTCGTCATCGTCCTCCTCCTCCTCCAGGCTCTGCAGGTGCTGCTGGCCGCCGGGGTGCTCCTGGGCACGCAGCTGCTGCAGCTGGTTCTGCGGGGGGGGAGGGGCTGTGGACAGCAGCCTCACCAGGGCACCCCGTCCGTCCGCCCGCCCGCCCGCCCAGAGGCCCTGC